ACGTTCGCCCGCGCCAGATGTCGTGAGAACAAAACGTCCACCTCATGCTCACCCGCGCCCGCTGTCGTGAGAACAAAGCGTCCGTCCGTCCGACCGAGCCCGTTTCATGATCGCACGCAGCTCACTGAGTACCGCCGCTCCCCGCCTGGGCGCCGCCGAGGACAGCCGTCAGTGCCGCGCTGCCCCAGCCGCCGCCAGGCGCGGAGGCGGCCGGCACCGGCTCCTCGACGTCCAGCACGGCTGTCAGCGGCGCCCGACCGCCCTGTACCGCCCCGGCGAGGCCGGCCGGCGATGACCCCGGTGCTCCGGTGCTGACACGGTCGCCGCGGTGGCTTCCCCAGCCGCCCAGAGCGACGTCCTTCTTCCGCCGTCGGTTGTTTTTGAACTTATTCTTCAGCCGGCCTCGGACCAGCTTCTGCAGGACGGTGGCGAGCGCGTCATAGCAGGCAGCGGATGCAGATAGAATGTGACACATGGTATTCACCAGAGCACAGCGGAAACAAGCCAGCAGCGGCTTCAGCCAGCCGCATTTGCCACCAGCACCGCAGACCATCGCATCCAGCAGCACAAGTCCGGGAAATGCACGTGTTGATTCAGCTGTTCATCGACGGGATCCCCGACGCCGCGGACACTTCCCCAGTAGATGCACGCACTTGGCCCGGTATCTGCCTGGACCCGTCCGTTGCACATATCTCAAACAATGGCGAACAGCACGGCGGAACTGAAGTGCGCGCCGTTGTTTCCACTAACGGAACCCAAGGCTTTCGATGTCCTTCCCGATTTGGGTTTCAAAACCAAGGAAAGAACACAAACCAAACCAGGAAAGAACATTATTTAGCACAAACACCCAGCAAACCAACACACGCAAGCGCATTGGAACAAGCACCAGATTGGCAAGGCACCACACGCGGACGCCTGCGGCTAATGACCCCGGCCAGCACAGGTTTGGCCGTCTCTTACCAGTGCCTGGAGTGAAGACAGGTTCGGAAACAGAAAAGGGAACTGATCGACGATTGCGCCAGCCATCCTCTGGTACCAGCGCGACGTGACTACGCTGAAAAATACGAAAAATGTATCATAAGTGACGATGAGTAACAGCCTGAAATCAGTGATGCTTTACAACCCACGGTGTCGTACGAGAGGCTGCGGCAACCATTGTGGATGAATAATTGCATGGAACACCGCCTCACTCACTGATTAAGTAAGGTACAGTGCACCCGGCATGCAGAAATCCACGCAGAGATCTGCGCAGAAGGGCGTTTGAGTGACACGCCCAAGTCTTGCCGTGTGGACCAGCCCGGGCCTCGGGGACGGGCCTCCGCAGCAGCGCGCCGCATCCTCTCCCGGAGCGTTCCCGGAAGGTCCGCGATCCATCCTTGGGATCGCGGCGCGTGCGGGCTGCAGCGCGTCTCACTGGTCATTGAAGGCCTTGTAGCGGTCGTAGATGCAGGTGGTGACGTGCCGCCAGTCGCTCTTGTCCAGCCGCTCCCGCCGCTGCAGCTTGTGGCGCAGCGTGTCCGGCAGGATCCGCACGTCCAGGCGGGGGTTCCTGAAAGGCCGAGCAGCTGAACAACGACGCGGACGTCCAGGCGGCGGTTCCTGAAAGGTCGAGCAGCTGAACAACGACGCTGCCTGCGGGAACAGCTCGCAAAACCTGGCGAGAGTCGAGCGACGGCGCGGTGCCAGACCATCAGAAAACTGAAGGTCTGGACGCAGCCAGGAAACTGGGGTCTGGACACAGCCAGGAAACTGGGGTCTGGACGCAGCCAGGAAACTGAAGGTTTGGACACAGCCAGGAAACTGAGGTCTGGACACAGCCAGGAAACTGAGGTCTGGACACAGCCAGGAAACTGAAGGTCTGGATACAGCCCGGAAACTGAAGGTCTGGACGCGGCTAGGAAACTAAAGGTTTGGACACAGCCAGGAAATTAAAGGTCTGGGCACAAACAAAAAACTGAGGCCTGGACACAGGCAGCGAACGGCTCCTGTCACGTCACCATTCCAGCAGATCCTTCGGGAACAGCGCCCCGCATCGTTATGTGAGACATTCACGCGCCCGGCGGGGACTGAGTTCTCCCTGCCCGATCGTTATGTGAGACATTCACGCGCCCGGCGGGGACTGAGTTCTCCCTGCCCGATCGTTATGTGAGACATTCACGCGCCCGGCGGGGACTGAGTTCTCCCTGCCCGATCGTTATGTGAGACGTTCACGCGCCCCGCGGGGGCTGAGTTCTCCCCGCGCGATCCAAAACGCCACGCGAACTCCCGTGCGCCCTCTTTCCCCGGGTGAGCAGGGCGGTCGTCGTCCAGTACGAGACAAGTGTCGGGCCATTCATCAACGCACGTCACCAGCGCGCTCACCAGCATCGCTATCGCTGATGACAACCGAAGGCACAGTTACCCGGCGCGTGGAATGAGCCCAGATGTTTCAGTCACGGTTTATCCGATTCGTCCCCCCGGTTCCCTTCGCCCACCAATCAGCGCGGGGCCTTACATCACGTGGCTGAGCGTGAGCGGTGGCAGCGCGTTCTGTTCGGACCCGCCGCCCGGCGCTCTGGACGCGGCCGAATCTTCAGCGCACCTGCTGGCCCTGCTGGAGGACGTCCGACAGCGTGGGTAACGTCATCAGCGGCTTCGTGCGGTGCGGGTCGGCTATCTACGCCGCCCAAACGACCACCACGGCGCTGCCGGTGTATTGGCGGATCGCACAGACACTTGACGGCGCACCACTGTACACAACTGTCTTGCCTAGAGGTTGAGTTTGTAATTTTTGTGTTGAATTCGTGAGTTCGTTTCCACCCTTACGCCTTTCTTCAGTTCGTTAGCATAACATTTGGACAACGCAGCGACGATAATATTTGTGACGCCGACTCCACGCGGGCCAGGGGCTGCGGCCCTTCACCGCAAGTGGTCCGTCCTTACCGGAAGTGGTCGGTCCTTACCGGAAGTCACGCAGGCGGGACGGTCCAGCAGGTGACAGCTGGGATGTGGTGTTCACCGCACTCCGAGTGTGAGAGTTCACTACGCCCAGCTGCCGGGGAGGCAAGGGGTATGACTTTGCCATTCCCGTGCGGGGAACCACAGACCACAGCAATAATAAATACGACGCATAGATGGCTATAGCGGGACTCAGTAATTGTTGTGCTTGCCAGAAACTGGATTCAATCATTGAAGAGCGAGACCTTTGGAAATCGCTCTACGCAGGCAACGTGGCCATCAATAGTGTAAACGACGAGGTCTGGTCAAATAGTCGAGTATCAAATAAAAAGTCAAAAATTCAAAACAGACGCGGTAGCGGTCAAATAGCGCAAACGATGAGGAGATTTGCGCTGCATTCCTCCGCAAAAGCAATTACTTTTGACGCATGGTGAAAGTGTTACAAAGCAACGATGACGTCTGGGAACAAGCAGCCACAACACATGGAAATTGTTTGAACAGTGATCAACGGCATTACGGCCGAAAGAAACGCGTTTATATCCTTAGCACTAACAGCATGTGGCAACAGATCCAGCAAAGAATCACGAGCAGCTTCAGAAACAGAGCTGGCGACGCCGAGACACCACAGCTCTAACGCCACTGCAAACGAGTTACCCGCAACAGCGACACCCATCCTGAGAAGCAGCACAGCAGAAGCACCCCATGTATAGATCAGCAGGAGAAGAAGGGGTACGAGGAGCGCTGACGGCCACCGCGGTCCACCCCAGCATGCGGCACAGGACCGGGAGATACACTCACCACGTGCTCTCCGGCGCCGTCTCTCGGAGGCCCCAGTGGCATCTGTCTCCGCGTCTGCCCACGGCCTGCAACGCATCCGCGGCCGACGTCAGGGACAGCCGCCAGCAGTGTCCTCACCGACGTCAGGGACTGCTGCCAGCAGCGTCCTCGCCGACGTCAGAGACTGCTGCCAGCAGCGTCCTCCCCGACGTCAGGGACTACCGCCAGCAGCGTCCTCCCCGACGTCAGAGACTGCTGCCAGCAGCGTCCTCCCCGACCTCAGGGACTGCTGCCAGCAGCGTCCTCCTCGACGTCAGGGACCACTGCCAGCAGCGTCCTCCCCGACGTCAGGGACTGCTGCCAGCAGCGTCCTCCCCGACGTCAGGGACCACTGCCAGCAGCGTCCTCCCCGACGTCAGGCAATACTGCGAGGAGCGTCTTCCCCGACGTCAGGGACCACTGCCAGCAGCGTCCTCCCCGACGTCAGGCAATACTGCGAGGAGCGTCCTCCCCAACGTCAGGGACCACTGCCAGCAGCGTCCTCCCCGACGTCAGGCAATACTGCGAGGAGCGTCCTCCCCGACGTCAGGGACTGCTGCCGACAGCCCCCTCCCCCCACGCGTATTTCGCAGCAGCACGTTGATGGAGGGTGCGTGATGCACTCGCGAGAAGAAAACGCATAGGATTTGGGGTGAAGAGAAACAGGTCAGGATCTCGTGCGTTGTTTACGAAGTCTCCTGGTCCCGTCGTTAAATGGCCTTGAAACACTGGGACGTTGACTGTAACGTGTTTTCACTGTCGCGATAGCAAATAGTAGTGGAGCAACTCCCACCCACCAAGCTGAGGCAACCGATCTATGAGTTACCTTCTGTGAAGATTAAGTCTGGGATCGGAAGACGGCACCAGCGCGATCTCAACCACGAAAGTCGTCGCATGATAACAATCTTGCCTTCACGCGCCACGTGGGGAGGTTTGCCTTTGGCGGTTTGGCGGACACTTTGGCGGTTTCTTGGCCCGGCATCCTCTCGGAGGATACCGGGCCAAGGAGGATATCCTCTCAGTGCTTGAGGTTTCGGTGGCCGCGCGGTACAAAGGTCATCCTTAAAAGAACGAGGGCCTGGTTCAATTTTCGCTGGAGAGCAGCATCGCTTACCCCCTTTCCCCTGCGTGATAACACTTTGACCGTTGCAGTTCACTGTCTGAACCATAAAAACACCACCTGCAACACTGGCTGGGAATTGAGAGTCGCAACCTAGACACTTGTCCGAGTGTCTGTCTGATCTGAAGTCAATCATTAATTTCCGATCGCCAAGGACGTCCTCTTGAAGGAGTCTGGAGTTTCCGTTCGCACGTGGATTTACGACGTGCCTACGGCTCACTGACAGTGAAAAGCACGGCTTCAAACATCTGACGTATATTGGACAGGACTGTGTGTGTGCACTGGCTTTGGATGAGCGAACAAAAAAGCACACAGAAACACACAGACTAACACAGCCCATCATTGGGTACACATTTACAAATGTCAGCCATGCGGTTCGCATGGCAGGCGTTGACTGCAAGGTCCAGCGGCTCTGGTCCCCCCCCCCCCCCCCCCCACACACACACTCATAAACCCTCAATTGCACACATACTCAATGTTGGCTGGCAGGCAATTCCAGACGCGCTCACTGACCACGTCACACTGCAATGGGCAGGTACAAAACAAGCACAGCCGCACACACAGGTTTACCCGTGAAAACGTGCGGGTCTACCGACCCACAACACGTGACACCGGCGTCTGAAAATTGAAAGCTTCTGTCTCGCATGGATGAGCGATTGCCCCTGCCCCGCATACAACATACAGCTGGAGCATACCTGGGTCTCCTTCCCGCCAACGCCTGCTCAGGGGCACGTGTGTGCAGCGTCTGCAAGCTCGTCATGTGCGCGCCAGGATGCGCGCAACATCGCACCAGGCCAGCCATCCAGCCAACATCGCACCAGGCCAGCCATCCAGCCAACATCGCACCAGGCCAGCCATCCAGCCAACATCGCACGGCCCCCCCAACATCGCACCAGGCCAGCCGGGGGCCAAGCGCCGGTCGCCGTTGGAGATGAAGGGAGAAAGGCAGACGAACGGGGTACCAGAAGTTTGCTGCAGTGGTACGTGCAGTCGGTAGTATGGCGGCCAAGCATCAACTTACCCTGGTCCCGCTCTTTACTTAATGCCCTGGTACTACAAGGACCTCGCAACAGCAGTAAAACACGTGACAAGTTGCATCGTCTACCCCTTTACTAACGTTTTCTTTGCCGGTCCATTTAAGCAATGTTGTATTATTACTTTGAAGTTTTGGCCCTTATATGGGCCCAATGGGAGGCCAATAACACACTAATTCATTAACATTACGGTAGTGTTTTGAGCCATGACTTAATGGTGCCGTAAAATGAACAAAAAGGTGGAGTCTTGCATCTATTTTCGCATGTGGTTTATTATCTGTTGGGACTGGAAAGGTGCTATTTTTGCTCGAAACGTTTGCCTTCTGCAAGACAAACTCGTTGGAAAACTTTTCATCTATTTCATGCAGTTCGTTAAATGCGTTCACGAGGAACATTGTGTATGTAGATAAGACGGTAGCCTTATTTCCTCGTAGAATGCCCTGGAGAATGGAAAATATATACATTGCACATAAAGATGTGCAATACATCTATATCTTCATTCTCGTGGTTTTTCTACCGGACTTAAGGCTGTAAATACGGTGATTTCATCCATATGGCTTAAGAAAACACTCAAACAATACAGGATATCAGAACCAGGCTGCACTGGTAAGCCCAGAACAGTCAGAACGTCCTGACAGCGGCACGCCACATACCTATAGCCCAATCCTGGTCACTAGCTGCTCTGATCACCACTTGAGCAAGTAACTGGCCTTCAGACTGCGCCGGCTATCCCCACCGCCACAGCCCTCCTGATCGGACACGTGCAGCACCCCGCACCACCGCACCGCAGAGAACATTGCAGCGTTACACACCACACAGACCGTCACACCAGCGTCCCCCGGCCGGCCCGGGCACCGTCGTCACACTGCTGCGTCACACACCACACAGAGCGTCACACCAGCTCCGTCGGCCGGCCCGGGCACCGTCGTCACACTGCTGCGTCACACACCACACAGAGCGTCACACCAGCGTCCCCCGGCCGGCCAGGGCACTGTCGTCACACTGCTGCGTCACACAACGCACAGAGCGTCACACCAGCGTCCCCCAGCCGGCCAGGGCACCGTAGCCCGGTCACGCCTCGAACGGCCGCGGCGTTCCGCTCGCGTCGTCCGGGTCCACCGCGAAGCCGGACGCTTCGTGCGAGTCCACCGCAAAGCCGGACACTTCGTGCGAGTCCGCCACGAATCCAGACGCCTCACGCGAGTTCGTCGCCTGACCCGAGGCGTCATCCGAGTCCGTCACCAGCCCCGCCGACGTCAGCAGGGTCGGCCGTCAGCCCGCCGACGTCGGCAGAGTCGGCCGTCATGCCCGCGACGTCAGCAGAGTCGGCCGTCATGCCTGCGACGTCAGCAGACTCTCCCGCCAGCGCGGCGAGGTCGACGGCCGCCGCGGCCAGCCTCAGGCGGACCAGCTCGGCCGCCTCGCGCTCGGGCAGGCCGTGGCGCGCGCGCAGGTGGCGCTTCAGGTTGCCCATCTTGCCGAACGCCAGGCTGCAGAGGTGGCAGACGGTGCCGCCCGTGTGCACGTGCTCGTGGGCGCGCCGGCTGCCCGGCGTGCGGTACAGCCGGCCGCAGAACCGACACGGGTACTCGGCTGCAACGCAAGGGCGCCACGCTCAAGTCGGAGCGAACGGACCGCCGGGCGCGGCGGGACGTGACGGTCGCGGCGGCCTGGGCTCTGGGGCGCCGCGACAGCGTGGCTGTGCGGTGACGGCGACGGGCTCAGCCCAACTCAGCGGTGCCGGTGATGGGCTCGTCTGAACGGAGATAACACAGGATGCGGTTGACTGTGGCGCATACTCGAGCTTGGGTGGCAAAACAGAGAAAGCACTAGACCGTTCACCTTTTCCGTCACAGGAGTGAGGATGTGGAGGTTCAGTGCAGTCTTATCCTCCATTAAAAACTTCGCGCCAACTAACGCTTCCTGTCCAGATACACCAACAGAAAAAGAAGGGGACCACGAAAGGTCTCTCTCGAAGCCAACTGGGGTAGAGCATATTATCAGGGTAGGGGTAGTCGGTGACTAACGACATGCTACGATCATCGTAGCAAACGCCACACAATGCCCCCGAATTGTTCAGTCCTGTCAAACGGCACACATGCCAGGGCAGACGCGGTCGGTGGCTACTGATATGTTACGATCATCGTGGCAAACGCCACACAATGCCTCTGAGTTGTTCACTCCCGTCAAACGCCACACAGTGGCTGCGAGATATCCAGCCCTATGGGCCGTCGTATGGGCGACTTGCCGCCCTCCAAATGAGCCGTGTCACCTCAAAGGCATCAGCAGCGCAGTGCAGAGGAACACCGTGAGAACGCCAGCTGGCCGGGGGCCGGACCCCGTGCTGAGTCCCCTTCCCTGTGTCAAACCTGGCCCATTTTTCACGCCAGTGCTCCGACTATCCCACCATGTTTTACAACGAGATCAGATGAAGCTCACAGACTGGGGGCAGTGACCAGCAGAAGCCCAGAGCATGGGGGCAGAGATCAGCGGAAGCCCAGAGTCGAGGGGCAGAGATCAGCGGAAGCCCAGAGTCGAGGGGCAGAGATCAGCGGAAGCCCAGAGCCGGGGTTAGAGATCAGCGGAAGCCCAGAGCCTGAAAGGCATCAGCAATCTAGACGGTTTCGCAAAGATACCCCTCAGTAACGATCATCGTCGCCCGCAGAGGACGAAGGTAAGTAAGAGGGTGAAGTGCTCCTGGTACTTCTGCACAGCTCAAAGCCGTCAGACCACAAGGGGCGTGGACCCCGTGGGCTATCAGACCACAAGGGGCTTGGACCCCATGTGCCGCAGCCCGTGTGTTTCATTGCACTCCCGGGAGTCTGTAACTCCAAACGTTGCCACATCCCTGGGATCCGTCCCGTAGCATCGTCTACCATGTCACTTCAAACGTTCCAAAAGTTTCGATGCATCCCCGGAGGGTACCGTCATCCTGGGTGCATCGCGATGTTTCGCGACCACTCTCCGAGCAGCTCGGCAAGGAGCCCCGAGCCGGATACGGGCACGCAACCGCGGCGTGCATGTCATCCCTCCAGCTCGGCAAGGAGGGGCCGCGAGCCGCATACGGGCATGCAACCGCGGCGTGTATGTCATCCCTCCAGCTCGGCAAGGAGGGGCCGCGAGCCGCATACGGGCATGCAACCGCGGCGTGTATGTCATCCCTCCAACTCGGCAAGGAGGGAGCCCGGAGCCGGATACGGGCACGCAACCGCGGCCGGCATTACTCGTGCCATGTCGCATTCAAAGACGATGTCCAGTTCGTGTTGTTTTATGGGCGATGACCGGTCTACATGGCGCTACGACGGAAGAACGTCCTCGGCCATCATCACCTGAACGACACGCATCACAGGGCACGCGTGCGACTCCTCGATCGGCGTCCAGGCCCGCTCATGGAACTGTCTCAGGCCATCGGCGGCATCGAGTCATATGTCCCTGAAGGCGACATCACGACCACCCATGATTCGCACTGCTGGTTTGCCCCCCCCCCCCCCTCCTTCTCTATACACGCACATATGCTGCTCTCTGGGACGCGGCATTCAGCAGTCCCTCTCGTGGACCAGTGTGAGTGGCCTGCAGTTTTCCGCAGTAAGATACCGTTCCTGAACGCCTTCTGTTGGATTCAAACGACACGCGTGCTACACAGCAGCCATCAACAAGCAGTCAAGGGGACAGTGCCCGCCGTCCCCGCCCGACCGCTCCTCGGTGGCACAATGGTCGCGCTAGTGAGCCCCGCGCGGCCACGCACATGTGCCTTCGCAAGGAAAGCTGCACCATGGCCAGCGAAAACGAGCACAGAGATCATGAATGCCGCATGCTCACACTTTGTACCGGGTAAATACAATGGTGATCAATACACCGTGAGCTCTCGCTCGACCTTCACTGGGCTTCAGTGCGTTACGGAGACAGCATTGCTGGACTGGCGTTCAAACGCGCGACGAGTGAGAGCTGTGACAAACACGAGTCAGAGCTGTGACAAACACGACGCCAACGCATGGACGCAGCAGCTTCCGAGAGCAGTCCGGGCCCACCGCAATCACCAGCCGCCAGCTCGACCCGCTGCACCGGCCGGCAGGTTCGTCACAGGTCCGACACGACCCCAGCGGAGCTCGGCAGCGGCACCCCCACGGCGGGGGAGCACCGCAGGCCGCTGTCCGCTGCCCGACGACCCGGCCGGCCGCACGCCCAGACGTCTCTGGATCTGGATCCGGGGATCTGGGGATCTCTGGACCGACCCGATGGGAGCCTCTGGATCTAGATCTGGACAGCGGATCGGCCGCCCCGAAAGCCCATCTCCCCGAGTCGCCGCCCGTCGCTATCCCAGCTCGCCGTCGCTGTCCGGGAGCTGCGGGGCTGTCCAGAGCTGCGCCTCGGCCTCCCCGTCCGCCTCCTCGGCCTCCGCGCCGTCCCCAGCCGGCACCGGCGCCGGCGGCGGCACAGCGCCCAGGCAGCGCGCCGACCCCATGTGCCGGTTTCGGCTGGCAGCCGTGGCGAACACCTGGCGGCAGCGCGGGCAGGTGGTGCGGCCGGCGTGCGTCTCCAGGTGGTGCCGGTACGAGTCCCAGCTGGCGTACGTCTTGCTGCAGAGCGGGCACCCCAGGCGGCCGGAAGCCGACGGCGCTGCGGCGGGGGCGCGCTCGGTCAGACACCGGCGCCGCAGAAGGCGTGGCTTGCGGTGGCAACCACAGTTCGTAAGCTAACATGTGCAGCTTTTCACGGCCAAGTTTGAGTTGTTGTTCCAGTCTTGCATCGAGACGCTTTATACCAAATGACTGCTTGGGGAGGACATATATACTGAGGTTTCTTGGCGAAGCTGAGAAAAAATGGTCTCCACAATACAGCACCTTGTTCTAAAATCAGTTTTCAACCCCTTGAATGATACGGAGGCCAACAGTCATGGCGACCGCCGTCAGCAGAAAGCTGCACCGCCTACAGAGAAAAGCACGGGCGTAAAACAGCAGAGCTGTCCGCACTCCCTACAGCCCGATCCGCGTTATAAGGGTCACTGCCACTGGCAAAGCAAAGGTAAGGAGATGTCGCAAAGGAAAACACGGCATACGTTGACTGTCGTGTTTATCTGGTGGGCCAGCGTTCGAGCGCGCAAAGAAGTGAAGCTGGAGTAACGCACAGCTAACGGGGATGAAATGTTCAAAATTTAATCTGGTGACACGACTCCGAAGAATGACACGGGCACTTCGCTGTCAATATCAAACAATTTGGTCGAAAAACAGTGTAATGCGCACGTACTGGACAGACAGAGAACTGAATGCAGTTGCTTGCACACCAACAAAGACCAATCGACGTCTGACTGTTTGCTTATCTCGGCGATCCATCAGTCAACTCAGTTTGACAGAAAAAACCAAGCCGGCTGCTGCATTGGAGGCCAAGGTCGTGGACGCATACGAAGTCACAGGAAGCAACAGGCGTCATAAAATGCATCCGTGCAGTCCACAGGGATTCCGCTCTTGCGAGCGTGCGCGAGCAGCAGAAGTCGTGTCATTCCAGTGCTTTAGTGGCTGCGCTTGCTGCGACGTGCTCCCAAGGTTCCGCGACATCGCCATCCTTCAAAACCGCCACTTGAGCATGGCGCCTTTTGCTGCAATTGCTCCCGTGAGAGATCCGGGCTCGTCTTCCCGTCGACTCGGCACCGAGCCTCGGGGTGGCCGCCGAGAACAGAGTTACCAGGTCTGCATCCACCGCCCAGTCCTGGCGTCGAGGCCACCCGCAGCTTCACGGGCCACCCTCCCGCGGTGGGCCGGTCCTGACGTCAAGGCCGTCCCGCAGCTTCACGGGTCATCCTGCTGCGGTGGGCCGGTCCTGCCGTCAAGGCCGTCCCGCAGCTTCATGGACCACCCTGCCGCGGTGGGCCGGTCCTGATGTCAAGGCCATCCCGCAGCTTCACGGGCCACCCTGCCGCGGTGGGCCGGTCCTGCCGTCAAGGCCGTCCCGCAGCTTCACGGGCCATCCTGCTGCGGTGGGGCCGGTCCTGCCGTCAAGGCCGTCCCGCAGCTTCATGGGTCATCCTGCTGCGGTGGGCCGGTCCTGGCGTCAAGGCTATCCCGCAGCTTCACGGGTCATCCTGCCGCGGTGGGCCGGTCCTGATGTCAAGGCTATCCCGCAGCTTCACGGGCCACCCTGCCGCGGTGGGCCGGTCCTGATGTCAAGGCCGTCCCGCAGCTTCACGGGCCACCCTGCCGCGGTGGGCCAGTCCTGATGTCAAGGCCATCCCGCAGCTTCACGGGCCACCCTGCCGCGGTGGGTGCTGCTGTCGCACTCCTGACCACCCATACGTGTTCGCATTCAAAGCGCTGCGTACATTTTTCACCAGTTTCGGGACAACCCGCGGGGAAAGCTGCGGCTGCGGTGATTGTAGTAGCCACGTTCCGTTACGAAAGCAAAAGTTACGTTAGAAAGTCAAGCTACGTTAGAAAGCTAAGTTACGAAAGTTGTATTGTTCTACTTCCAATAAATATGCCATGGCTCTAATACACCCGCCATCAAATACATCCGCCTTGCGACATTACGCCCATCATGACGTGTGTGGTTGTTGATGTACGCACCCAGAAACAGGCGCATCTGTGCGCCGGCCTTTTAAA